CTTCTCTAGGGCCCTAACAGCCTACATAATAAATGAGACCTTGTCTCAAAAAAAAAAATAACAACAACAACAACAAAAACAAAACAAAACAAAACCCAATGGTTGGTGTCTAACTATTTTCTCCTCTTGCTCCTACATATATTCTTTACTGCTAACAGGATCTAACTCTGACCATCTCTTGGCATCCTCCTCATTCTGACTGCTACTGAATGAGTTCAGATGAGACATAGAGCATAGTATAAAACATAGGCAGAGTTTATTACAGATTAACATGAGGCAGCCTCAGAGGTGAACCGTCAATGACCATCATGAAGAAAAGCAGTCTGGAGGCATGGGGGGGGCAGTGGCTACAGGGCTCTTGTGGTCTACCCATTTCCCGTTTCGGTATACTGCGTTTCCCAAAGTCTCTGGGATACAGATTTCCTGTATTTAGATTACCACTTAAGGGAGGGGTATGTCTTTGCCCTGTGGGTTTCTCCTTTGTTTCACATAGCTCAATTTTTAAGGAAGGGGACTTGTGATGTTTTCTCTTTTCTAAAATTAGTGTATTAATAGGGACGTAGGCAGTAGAGGTAGACTCTGATTATGAGGAAGGGGCCCTTCCCTGTGACCTTCAGGCTTGCCAGTATCTATTAGTATAATATTACCTTTAAGACAAGAATTTCCCTCATTGGTCTGGGTCAGATGGCCAGAGTTCTGAGTGGGGCCTCATGGTAACTCAGAGCTGGTTCTGGACTGAGTTCTTCCAGCTCTGAACCTACCAAGTTTGGTAAGTGTTGGTAGTCTCTGAATTTCTCTGATTCCACCTCCTCTGTTTGTAAAATGAAACTAATAATAGATTGTATCTTTCAAGGTTTTTTTTTTAACATAAAGATAGAATGACTTAATATGCATAATTATGCAATTAGAACATTGACTGGAAGAGAATAAGCATTCAATATTCACCAAGTACACAAATATAATTCGCCATTCTGATTAAAATTAAGGTTTGTATTTGTTATGTCCTTCCTATGTTATGCATACGTTTCAAAATTTCAAATGTAAGTTAATTCCTTTCTGAAATGATTTCTTCATGAAGTTAGAAGCTACCCTAGTCAATGATGTAGTTTTTTTTTTTTTAAAAAAATATTTCTTTATCTTTTTAAAGCTTGGAAGCATAACCCTGAGAAGGATGGAGAAAGTTGGCTCATAGTGGCTAAAGTACCTAAGGACACAAACTATCCACTGGAGGGGATTTTTTTTTAAAGAATAAAGTTTCCTGAATTTATAATCCAAGTGATTGAAAGCCTTCCCAGCAGTTGCTGCTGGAGGCGGCTGCATCCCACTCGGCTACAGTTGCTCAGTAGCGCCTTCCAAGCCCCTGCTCTCTTGGATCTGCCTCCAGCGCTGCTTGACGGTCTTTACAAGGACATCTACCTTTTTATTTTGCAGTTAAATCTCATTTTAGACTCAAGGTGGTGTTCCTCAACTTTATCATTCACCTGATTTATTGAACTTGACACTGAATAATTTTGGCTCTTTAAAAAATTCCATCCACAAAGTATGAACATGTAGCTCTCTGGAGGAAAATAGAGGGCGATGAAAGTTTCACTGTTATTTTTTTTTAAGGCAAATGTCCAAAAGTGTGCTGTGTAGATGGCACCAATGTTGGGGTGTGGTGCAGTCCTGCCAAGGTAGTCACTTTGAGGGGACCAAGACCCCTTTGAATATACACATTCTAGTGGCTATTACCTATGAGTTACAGAACCTCTGAGGGAATCTTCTTGACTCATTTCTTTTATAATGCATAGGGAGCTAGAAGCTGAACTTTATTTGAACATGTATATTCTCTCAGGTAAAAGAAAACAGTTAACCATCATGATATACAATCTATTTTCATTCTTCCTTCACCTTGCCATTAAACATTTATTATTATAATTATACTTCTCAAAACTTTAATTCTGTCATTCATACTACCTGGAAAATTTATACAAGAATGACTTATAATAAAACCATGTAAATACATTCAATTATTGTTTTTTCAACAGGATCCTGAAACTGTTGCATAAAAGCAAATAATATTTTCCTAGAGGTGTAATATTGTGGGTGGTTATACTTCTAATCAGAGGTAAAATCAGATGAGTCAGAGGAAGAAAGTAATAAATATTCTGTGAGGAGAAACTGTAATATCTAAGCTACCTCCTTTAGCCACAAAGAATATAATTGTCCAACATCTATAATATATGCACAATTATACTATACATATTTGATTACAAATAGAATATTGACAAACCACAGCTTTTATTTAAATATGAAACCTCCATTGATAAATTTGACTAGAAGCTAATATTTGACAAATACTGATAATTAGTCATGTATTACAATGGGTCTAAAATTACATGAGATTTTTAAGGGATATGATTTACAAAGGCTGTGTCTCCTAAATGATCTCAAGAAATTATACTGCCTTGTTCATTTGTGGGCAGCTACATAAGAAAATTGTACTACTTGCCTTGGGTTCATCTCCTAATTTATCTTAATAGATCGTACTGCATTTGTTAATGAGGTCTATTCTTTGTGAAAGCAATCAATATTGTAGGAATACCATGTCCCAGGTTCTGTTCTAGACATTTGAGCTCTTACAAATTGGGGAGAGATCCAGAATGAGTAGAGAGACCAAGACAGTGAAGACAGGAAGTTAAGGGAGGAAGGTGCTCGAAGTTTGTACTGTCTGTGTCAAGTAGTATGAAGGCCAAGAGCTGACCATAGGATTTATAGAAGAGGAAGTTATTTGTGGCCTTTTTAGGCGTGCTTGATGGGGTGAGGAAAGGCCTGGCTAGGGAAATGGGAGATGAGAACTAGAATGTGGAAGCTTAAACGATCCTTTGAAGGAGAATGACTGAAAAGGGTGAAGACAAAGGAGGTCATAAGGGGAAGTTTCAGTGAGAGTGGGATGGAGAAACTTTGTTATTATTTTTTTTAATAAAGAGAAACCATAGCATATTGTGTGTTTATATAATGATTCTTAGGGGGACAACCTCTGATATGAGAATGGAGAGGATTGGATATGTGCTCCATATAGGCGTGAGAGCGGATGGCACAGATTGGAGCTGGTTGTAGTTAGAAGCACAGTGTATCCATGTTAATAAGAAAGAACATTAGCACATAAGGGCACAGACACAAACAGGTGGGCACCGTTTGTCCTTTTAAAAAAAGAATTTTAAATGTTCAAAGGGTGTGGTATTATTGTTCTGAATCACACCAAATGAGGATGAGCTGAAAGCAATCTGTCACTTAATGTGATGCTCTGTCAACAGTCATTAGAATGTGTTACTAGTTTTTGGAAACTCATTAAAAGTGCTTAATAGCAAATCTTGGAAAGGAGGTTTGAAATCTCATTGCTAGAGTTGGCCTGAGACAGCTTGTGACACTGTTGTGATTGGGCTTGCACTCTTACCCTTGGTTTGATAAATTATTGAATGAATTGGTAAGGCTAGGGCCATTCAGGTATAATTGTCAAAATAACACCTTTAGACAATGGCGTTTGTGACACGAATAATTGTCAACAATGAAAAATAACCACACAAGACCTAAAATACTGGGTCAGAGCAGTGGGTTTCTTTCTGCCCAGTTGTGGTGGTATTGTGTTTCCCGAAATATTGTGCATGCTAATAAACTTATCTGGGGTCAGAGACAGAACAGCCACAATATTAAGCATAGAGGATAGGCAGTGGTAGCACACGCCTTTAATCCTAGCATTCCAGAGGCAGAAATCCATTTGTTCAAGGATACAGCCAAGCATGGTGACTCACACCTTTAATCCCAGAAAGCGAGCCTTAAATTCCATGGAGTGGTAGTAGAAAGCAGAAAGGTATATAAGGCATGAGGACCAGAAACTAGAAGCATTTGGCTGGTTAAGCATTTGGCCTGGTTAAGCATTCAGGCTTTTGAGCAGCAGTTCAGCTGGGGCCCATTCTGGATGAGGACTCAGAGGCCTTCAGGCTGAGGAAACAAAACCAGCTGAGGAATCGGCCAGGTGAGGAAGCTGTGGCTTGTTCTGGTTCTCTGATCTTCCAGTTTACCCCAATACCTGGCTCAGGTTTGATTTTATTTATAAGAACTTTTAAGATTCATTCTATACCCAGTATCAGCTTCAGGGGTTGTTTAATAACCCTTCCCCTTTTTTTTCTGTCTTTCTTGCAGTGAAGTTTTTTTATTGCATGAAATATATAAGGCCAGGGTTCAGGATGTAGCTCAGAGGTAGAGTGTTGGCTTAGCGAATGCCAGTCTCTAGGCTTTACACACAGCACAAAGAACAAACAAACAAACACCAAACAAACAAAAACTGACAACCCCAAATGAGGCCTGTAGCTGGAGAGATACCATGTAATGAATTTTCGGGACTGATGTAAGCATACAAACTATGTTAAAGAGGAAGGCAAATATTGACAATTTAATATTTAATATACCATGTACCTACTGTGTTCAAAATTGGTGCCAACCTTTTGAAAGATGGCATTAATGCCAATTAGAATTCATCGCCTTGAATTAAAATAAAAATATCAGCATAAAGTCTGTATGGTTGCTTGGAGAAAAATAATTCACCATGGACTAAAATACTTGCAGAGGACCTCTTGGATTAAAAAAACCTGGAACTTGGGCTTGGACTTCAAGGCAAGCTTTTGTCTTAGCACCTGAGATAAGAAAATAATGAGAAAACTGCTTGGGATGTATCAAGCTCTCAATGATACTCATTTGATTAATTTTGTTATGTAATTTTTGCAAATATTACTTTCCTTAAGTTGTTTGAATATGGCAAGTGAACGGGATAAGAGGCCTAAATATGTAGATGCATGTTAAGAAATCAGCGTTGTCAGAACTGTACAGTTTTAATGATTAGAAATCTCATTTTGGTCCAAGCTTCTGAAAGATTTATGAACAATTCTAACACAAGTAGTAGATTTCTAGAAAAGACTGGCTATCCAAACGAAAGATAGACTTGCTCATTCATCTTCGCCTACCTGGAATACTTTCCTTGGGAAACAAATGCTGGAATGGAGGTATAAACTCTTCAGAAAAATATTTTTTTCATGTGTCTACAAGAATCAAAAGAGAATACTTAAATGATCTCAGGAAAGAGAAAGAGTAGACGTTTCTTCTGCTGACTCAGGGGCTCCATCACTACACCTGGTATGACCATTTCAGTTCCCAGCTACTCCTCCTCTATTGCCAAAGGAAAACCTCACAGTCTTGGGCAAGCTCTTTTTCTCTCCAAATCAGCAGACTGCCCAAAGTGAAGCCAACTGTTCTGTTTAGAAACCTCACTATTCAGACCATAAAAGCACGCTTCTATTTTTACAGTGTCGAAACACATTATCTTTGATTTTGCAGTAAAATTTTGATATGTGGTGGAGTTTGAAATTTTTTATTAGATTATGGATGTGTAAATGACTGTCAGGAGATTTTTGCTACATTTCCTACATAGCATGTCGTTTATTTGCAGCAAAAGTTTTCCAATTCTGTCCATTAATTGAAATTCTTGAAGAAAGTCCCTGAGAGTTTAACCCTACTGGACTAAAGGTTAGACACTGTTTAAAAATCACATTGAGTTGAATCCGTTGGAAAAACCCTGAATGTGAATTGAAACCAAGGGAAAACTAACGTGGAGTAAAATGAGCAATCATTGCAATGGCCTGAAGGGAGCTATGTGTGGACCCCAATTCAGGCAGTCTTGTGATAACTGACAGTTAGGAAGCATGTCACTCTCAAAAGATGACATCGGAACATTATCCAGCTCGGTTTAGAATACCAGCTGCACCCGAGTGAGGGTTGATGAATCTGTGGAAATTCCTGCGATGGAAGAAGTCTGTTAAGGGAAAGAAGCAGAGGATGGTGGCAAGATGGATGATTTTTGCATGAACAAAAGCTGGATGTGTTACTAACATCTGTTGATCTTGAAACCATGGAAAAACAGTTTCACCTGAGGCCCCCCTCAGTCCAATAGCTCTAGAAATTATTTTCTTTAGCTTTGCAGTTTCAAAGACCATTTAGATACTTCTATGAAATATACGTTGTTTAAACAATTGGGCCAAGTTAACAAACATAGATTCAGTTGGCCTGAAGGGATACATTCTCTCCCTCCCTTTCTCATAGCTGAATTTAGACCTCAGTCAAGTCCTGCTGCTTTTCATATCCTGCTTGGCTGATCAGAAAGCATCAACTGGCAAAACCAATTACTGAAATTAAAAAAATCAGCATAGACTCCTCGGGCACTCCTATAATTCTTCTATTTAGGGTAATAGCGCAAATCATAGTATTTGAGATGGGTCTCAAAGCCAAGTCGTAAAATACCTTAGAAATTATTGGTCGCAGGTGAGTACAGCAACTCATCTGTTGAAACACAGTTAGTGTTCTTACTTCTTGGCTCAGATCATAGTCACTGACCATCCCCAGTCAATTTTCATTTACAAATGGATAGGCTTATTGTATCACCAGAAGCTTTGATTCAACTTTAAGATCTTCATTGCTTGCTCTGGTCCAAGCAGCCTTTGTCTAGTGTTTTTCCATGAACCTTTACCTCTACTCAGTTGGTAGTGTCAACCCTCCCTCCCAGGCTCTGGGTTCCAGGATAAATGCTTATTCTTCCACAGCTTTGCTAGATCAAAGATTCAGTTCTGTTTCTTTGTTGTCTGTCCAAGTATTGAACTGTGGCTACTACGAGAGTTACTGCAATGCCCCTTGCTACTTCCTGAGAATTCCTCATTTGTCTTTTATTTATTTTTGAAGAGTTACTTCAACTATTATTTCATTGACCAATTTAATTTGCTTCATTTATTTTTCTACAGAGCTTTGGGTGTATATGTATACACACACTTATATACTTGGAGGGCGGGTAGAGTTAGCCATGAACAGAGGAATAATGAATCATTCAAGCCCCTGGAACACAAAGTTCTAATGACTTTTCCTTCATCAGAAATACTATTTAATGATAGTAAGGCTTGGAAACATCAACATCAGACATTTTTTTTTTCTTGCTTAAGATGAGGAATCATCCTTGATTCTTTTTTCCCCTTTAATTCTCAAAGCTAGGGCAACCATGTGATTTATTGTCTAAACTAAGATACTGTGAGAATAAAGAAAATCCTTAACTTTACAAAACATGGGAACAAAGAAAGAAATCAGTTCTGACCTGAGCCAAACACGAATTACTCTCCCCATAACTAAAGCAGCTATATTTGTTGACTATGCCCATATTCAATATGTTGAATGTATTCATTGTCTGTGATCATCAATTCCTGCCCCCGATCAGCTCTATTCTGTGTGGTTCCAGTAGCCTCTAATGGATCTGTTTCAATGCTTGCCCTGGTATGATTCACTTCTAAACACAGCTCTAAATAGCCTTTTACAAACTAGACCCCTTGCTCAAAAATCCTCTGAGATTTGACATTGCCCTTCAAAGAGATCCACACTGCTCCCATGGCCTACAATAACTTACTGTCTCTTGTAGGCCATACCACACCAGTGTGGTGGTTTCAGTGAGAATGGTTCCCATGGGCTCATGAATTTGAATACTTGCTTGCTAGTTGTTAAAACTGTTTGGGAAGGATTGGGAGGTGTGGCCAGTTGTTAAAACTGTTTGGGAAAGATTGGGAGGTGTGGCCAGTTGTTAAAACTGTTTGGGAAGGATTGGGAGGTGTGGCCAGTTGTTAAAACTGTTTGGGAAGGATTAGGAGGTGTGGCCTGGTTGGAGCATGTGTGTCGCTTGCTCTGTTCTCAGTGTGAATTTCTCTCTGCCTTGTGGTTGTGCATGCAGATGTGAGCCCTCAAGTGCTGGTTCATTCACCATCATGGACTCTAACCCTCCGGGGATACCGTAAACCAAATTCGATGACTTTCTTTTAGTTGTTGCCTTGGCCATAGTGTTTTATCCCAGCAACAGGAAAGGAAGAAAGACGACCGGTATCCCCAGATTCTGTCTTCTTTCTGTCCCTTTAGCATTTGGAGCGCGTACTTGCTTCAGGCAGTTCATGTTTATCATTTTCTTTGCCTAAAACTCATGGCCTTGGGCTTTTCTTTTCCTACTTGTTCCTATTTAGATCTCAGTCCAATGTCACTTCTGCTGAGCCCCGGAACTCCTTCCGGTGGATTGTCACCTGTCACTACTAGCCATATTGCTTCATAAGAGCACCATCTGATATATTGCTCTACATTTTGTATTGGAAAATATACAGAATGTATTTTTTTTTACCATTTTAATCTGACTTGAGTATTCTGTTTATTCAGTTTACTAGAGGAACTGCATTTTGGTTGATGTGGCATGAAGGAGCCATTGCTGTTTAGGAAAATGCTTGAATTGATGTCATGTTGTTACTGTACATTTTTTTCCCTCTCTCACATATTTTTTAATCTGATACTTATTTTGAAATTCACCCATAAATTCTCTTATGGGTTTCTGATTGTCTCTTAAAGCTTCTTCTGTCATTCATGAATACAGCAGGTATCTCTGGTATTTCCTTGTCAGTCTGCCTTTAGGAATGAGTGTGATCATCCAGGTGTGAGGAATTAGAAAGCTAATTAGTAAGGAAAAGTCAGCAGAACAGAAGACACTGCCAGAGCTTGAGTCTTCCCTTAACCATTCTTTGTCCCGCTGTTTTTGGGAGCAAAATTTCCCTTTGTATGAAAACTGTGTAGACACACTTCCAAACATTGTTCTCAGGTTTTGGCAAACACCTTTTCAATGCTGCATTAGTGATGGAGGCAAAACCCCATTCTCCCCTCTTAGGGGACTATCCATGGCTCTGCTCAGCTTCATTTGTATTGGACCTCCACCCTTGTACTGTACTTACAATTAGAGAAAAGCAAATGGAAAAAATGCTAATGATCGTTATAATTGGGCTCATTATTTAAACACGTATTAGATAAGCTGTCAGGTATTTAGGTATTAGGCGTGTAATTGGAAAGTGGTTTTGTGGTCTCAAAAAGCTTTCCTGCATACTTGGAGACTCTGGGAGGAAAAGGAATATGCAGAGGTGAGAGAAAAATATTAGAAACGTAGCTCACTTGTGTGACGTGTTTGTCTTCCTTCGAATACCTGTTGCAGATTCTGAGGGAAGGTGGACTGTTTTGCAAATGTACTGTGTACTCAAACTTAAACCATAAAGCTCATGAATTGTGGAGTTCAGCTTCAGACACACCCTGGGCATACTGATGCATTTCTTTCTGTACATATCTTTTGAAACACATGCATGCAATGAGAATAAAATGTTACCCCAGTAACAGTAGTGTGAAAAGAATTGAAATTAGTAGGTAAAAGAAAAAAAAATCCATTTCAATACTAAGTCTACCAGAATGTTGTTAATGGTAGAGATATTTAACAACAGGGGTGATCTGTGAAGGCTATAATACAAGAATACACTTCTATACCAATTTTTGACTATCTTTTCAGCCTATGTGCCCCCAAAGCTGAAGTTTTTGATGACAGAATAAAATCTGATTTGTGAGTGTAAATGCTCTTGTCTTTCTGGTAAAATATGATTTGGGTTGGCAACTGTGAAACATTATTGAGACATGAGGGCTGGAGAGATGGCTCAGAGGTTAAGAGCACTGGTTGTTCTTCCAGAGGTCCTGAGTTCAATTCCCAGCAACCACATGGTGGCTCACAACCATCCGTAATGAGATCTGGTGCCCTCTTCTGGCCTGCAGGCAGAACACTGTATACACAATAAATAAATCTTAAAAAAAGAGACATAAATTGACAAAAACTCACTTCTATTTTTTTTTTTTTTGCTCTGCCTTTTTTTTTTTCTTCTTGTGGACAGGACCAAGGTGTTCTTGAAGGACAGAGGCATTTCAAAAGATAAAACCTGCTATTTGTGGACTATACCGCAGAGCACTGCTTAGGTGAACTTTCCTTGAGGTTGTCCAGCAAGCCTCTTTATATTATCTGGACATGTCTTTACTTTCTTTAGACGGCAGGAAGGAGGTAGAAAACCATGGCCATCGCCATTCTCTACACCAAAGAAGCTAAAGCGGGGACATTTTCCACCTAAGCAAATGATTGAAATCAGAGTGTAGTCGTATGGTATATCCTGCCAGG